TGACAGTAAGTCAAAGAGATCAGTAAAAGGATACCAGGGCAGGTCTAAAGTGGAGAGTTCCATGTAACTCTAAAATTCCTGTGCTGTTATGCTTTGTGGACCATCTGGCCACAACATGCTTTTTCGCCTTCTTCCAAAGTCCTCCTAAACTGAATGCTTTTCTTGCATCCAGTATTTAATGCATTATATCCAATATTTAATACAAACACATAGTGTTTGGCTGTTGTTATTTTGCATAAGCAAATGCTCAGTTTCTTACTAAAATATCACTGTGGAAATCCCTCTCTGTGCCTTCTTTCTTCATAGGTAAAACAAGCAATCCAGGAAGAAACCATCTCTACAGGCCAGTCCCATGTTTCTAGGGTAACAGAAGACTAAAATATTCAAAGGGAATGCATGAAAATAAAATGAGTATTTGCCAAAGGGTTTTATAGTCAATATTCTTTAAAGATACAAAAATTCACAGAAGAACTACTTGTGTGTGGTGGTTGGTTTTTGTACAAATGTGCAATGCGAGTCAGGAGAAATATTAAGATGTGTATACCACAATTTGTTGTTGAATTAGAAGTTATTGTGTTAAGCTCTGTTTTTATAAAGATTTTATTTTATTTATTTGAGAGAGAGAGAGAGCGTGCACATAAGCAGGGGATGCTGCAGGGGAAGAGGGAGAGGCAGTCTCCCCTCAGAGCTGAGAGCCCCATGTGGGGCTCGATCCCAGAATCTGGGATCATGACCTGAACCTAAAGCAGACATTTAACCAACTGAGCCACTCAAGAGCCCTTGTGTTAGGCTCTTGATCTCACTAAAGTAGGAAGTCTTTGGAAATAAATCACATAGTTTCTATTCACTTCTTAGCCATAAGATTAAAAAGAATGGCAAAGTTGAGCTCCTTTCAAGTGTTTTTTTTTTTGTTAGACTGTTATTCTTAGAATTACTATTGACATTAATCAAGGTCATCATAATCTTGAATTAAATGCTTGGAAGGTTATGTTAAGTCTGTATTCTCAGAGTATACACATTTAGCAATTTTCAGGTCAAACTATTTAGTCTATTATAACAACTCAGATCTGAATAGTTGACTGACAAATCAAATGATCTGCCCAACTGATTGACTGAATATGTGAAAACATCCAAATGTGATCATTAGCTTGATAATCAAATCCAGTTCTTGCTTTCTGATGTACAAAATGGTAATTAAAAAGTAATTATGCTGCTTTAGACCAACCTCCCTTCCATACCTAGATAAGCCCTATATAATATTATCAAGTATTAAACATATACTAAGGCAAAACTGACTTCTGATCAATAATATTTTTGAATTATGGCCTACCATTGTACGAACACTAAAGCAATTCTTCATCTGTTTTAATTACCTGAGTACCTAGCACAACTTGAACATTGGGAAACCAGACCCAAGCTTTCTTACCTGGGTGTAACTTCCATTTCTTTTAAATCCCACCCTTCCATTCTCGGCAATGCAATGTTATTTGACAAACTAGCATACTTCCATGACAGATATAAAATTGTCTACCTATATTATAGGAGCAGCTATTAATATTTCATTTTCCTGAATACATTTTGTGAGACTTAAGAGACCCATGCAAACTTATCTACGAATCTGGCAAGCCACTTGCAGCAAATAAAGAACCACGGAGCAGTCAAGAGCCACTACTAACAAGCTGTGTTTTAAAATCATCTGCAGGTGCATGTGAGCCTAGGCAATGCGTTATTTTCAGGAACTTGAAATGCGCTTGAAAACTTTGATCGTGCCTGCAATAAGGGTTATCTGGAAAGCTTGCCCGACCCATCTCCTCATCCATCTGCTTTGTTGTCAGTGTGCTTTTTAAGGTCATCTGTCTTTAAGCTGAATGTGTTGCCCCTGAAGGGCTTTACTCATGTTAATAGATGAAAACTAAACACCTCCCATCACCCTCTTTGTGAAAAATAATGTTCTGATGTACCATATTAATTTAAGTAATGTATTGGCTAGATATTAAATACATTAATATATAGTTTAAGCATGTGGTATTTTATTTGCTGTATTACTAACAAGAAATCTAATAGACTAAAGTTATTATTACAAAAATAAACAATATGTCAAAAACATTGAAGTGAGAGGTAAAAGAGTTAGGAATCTTATTTGAATTATGATAAAATAATAGGAAAGCTATAACAGCTTTATGATGATTTTCCCTCTCAACAATTTGCTGAGAGAAAAATATTTATAATGAATGTGTTCTAATTTAGGAAATTGCCTCAGGTAAAATATGACAATTGTGATTTTTTTACTTCTAATCTTGCAAAGCCACATAGAGTGAAATTTTATTTCCAAATAAAGCAAAAGCCTTCCAACAAAACAAAAAAAGTGTATTTATAATAATTCTTTTAAAAATTCGATCACATTATGTTATTAATATTTAAAGTTTTTAAGTTGTGTAATTTTTTATATATCAGATTACAAAGAACTACAGTATAGAAACAGTATGGACATTAAGTTTAAAAAAGTCTTCATCTGTCAAAATATGAATTTGATCTTTGCTATCCATAGCCTGAACATAGATCTCAAGCTTTTCTTTCTATGATTGAGATGACTGATGCACTAAAATGTATTTCATCATTTTATTGTCTCATTCAGTATACTACTAACCATACAAACAGAAAGAAAAAGGAAAGTATTATGCAAAAGGAACATATGTAACATATAAACACATAACATGTAAAAACCTATATTTGAGTCTTAAAAATGCTCTAAAGGAAAAAACAAATGATACTGCATTTGCCATCTCACAGAACAGCCTTACATGGTTTTCATTTGCCTTGTTTCATCCTTCACTTGGACAGGAAGCTCTTAACTGTTTTCTTTCATGCTTTTTTTTTCCTCTCTTGCCTCCACTCCAGTGCACATGCCTGCCCCCGCCCCCCACCAACACACACTCTTTTTTTCCTATAGTCTCTGCAGTAAAAGCTACCATAGTTATCTCATGGAGATGTCTCATGCAGACGCCTCAAGCAGACGTCTGCCAGTGGATGATAGGAAACGCTGACTGAGAAAGGGTTTATCTACTTTTCATCCAAAATATGTGAACCATTAAGGAAATTATAAAAAGCAGCAACAATATACTCTGGTTTTATTCAGAACCTTTCCCTTAGCGATTATTAAAACGATGATATTTTTAGCCAAAGAAAGCAAAATGCATCTGCAGCAGCTGGTTTCCAAGGAAACAGAATAATTTAAAACCATGTGGAACTCTGCTCTCTAATTTTCATCAATTCCCCTTCATTCCTGGAGGTAGCTTTACTCAGAATTTATAATTTCCAAAAAACATAACTGCCTTGATTTATTTTTTTCTAACACATTTTAGGAGGTGAGAACTCTCTGGACTTATATGTCACCTAAATTCCAATCTAGGGGTAGATTAATTTCTACCATCATTTTGTTTTAAAAACCAAGATCAGAAGATTCCATCAATAATTAGAAACATAGCAACATTGCAGTATCGTGTAATGATTCTTGAAATCCAGAAATAGTTCAAAATAAACCATGCAAGTGTATTTGCTTGGGTCAATAAGACACAAGCATATAAACATATTATTAGCTATTTTTAGTATGTTTAGGAAATTTAAGGTAGTTCTCCATTCATTTAGATGATCTTTTCCAAATATTCAGTAGTTTTTCTCCCTTTCTCTTTTCGTAATTTTTTCAAGAACTATTTTGCATTTGTCTCATTTAAAACCAAACCCCATTTCTCAAACAAAAACAAAAAGCAAAGATCAAAATAATTCATAGATATGATACATATTCATTCCTGTTAGTTTGTGATTTATTCAAAAGAAGTATTTTTAAAATACTTGAATATACCATTTACATCAGAGAAATACTTTTATTATAATCGACAAGTCTTAATTGATTGCCAATGTGCCCAGGTCAGTAGAAATATTTCTTAAAAGAAGCTTGATTTTAATTAGATTCCCTCCTCCCTTAACTGCTCCCTGTTTATGAATTAAAATAACTAGAAAAGTAAATGACTTGTAGTAAAATTATTTTCCTTCTTTTTACTGTAAATGTGTCATTTAGTGTATATTTTTAGAACTCTCGCCTATTTTCCCTAAGGGTAAATCAAAGACAGTATTAAGAGATACAAGCAACTGGTGAAGTAAAATCTTAACTTCTGAGTTCTTTAGGAAAAAAAAAAAAACAAAAACTATTGCCCTAGGGATATTACCAACAATATAAATGTTGCGAAGGAACCCTTATCTAGATATGTTTGATTGATAAATGAAATTTGCCTATTAAGATGCTATTTTTTACAGCAATGTTTAATCCTTCACAAACAGGTTTTTGAGGTTTTAAAATGAAAACAGCCCTATGCATGTTGCTAAACATAGAGTCGCTTTATCATCACCTAAGCTTACGATTTACGAAATAAAATGATACGATTACTCTAGCATGAGATTTATCAAGAGCAGAAAGTTAAATGAAAGAGCTTAAACGCACACGAAATCATTCATTCTAATGCAGCACTGAAAGTCTCCAACCTGCAAAAATTATTTTCCTAAACCATTCACTGTATTGTACATATTAAAAGACACCACATGAAATTTTATGTCGTATATTCAGAGAAAGCTCCATGCTCTCCGAACCTGTGGAATTTACCGGGCTTTCGTCATCTTTCCCTTCATTCTCAATCACACAAACTTGAATTGGGGGAAAAAAAAAAAAAAAAAAAAGACACATGGTGATTCATTGTATCTATTAATTTTGCTTCAAGAACACTTCCTAGAAAGTTAACCAGGGCAAGACATGCCTCTGGTGTTTTTATCAGCTAATGGTTTGGCAGGGAGGAAACAACCGCTCACTGCAAAGCTTCCTTAAGCCACGAATGGGACACACTTTCGGGAAATGTCTTCAGAATAATTTTCGTATCATAAGATTGTCTCCATAGGCACGGAGAAGCATTCTGTTTTGAAGAAAAAGATTTTTTTTTCTTTTTTGCTCTTACCTGTAAATATGGTTTCTGTACTTCAGCTCCGTCAGAACAGACTGAAGAGTTCACTCCTCCCTCGTCTATCCATCAGGCAGCAGCCGACCAATAACAAAGCCAGATCCGCGCCTTCTCCGGCTCACGCTCCCCGCTCTGCTGCCATCCCTTGTTTCCTCCCACCCCCAGGCTCGTAGAGGGCAAGTCCTTGCAGCTGAGAGAGAGGAAGGGAGTGGAGAACAGGAATATGAAGGGGAGAGGAATAAAGAGATGAAAGATATTTCAAAGAATAGCTCCAAACTACCAAAAAAAACCCCACAACCAACAACAAAAACCCCACAATATATATATATATATATATATATAGAGAGAGAGAGAGAGAGAGATATCTATATCTATATATAGATAGATAGATAGATCTGCAGGTGAACTCCGCTGAAGTAAAATGCCTCTCTTCGGATTTAGGAAAATAGGGTTAATCAGTGTCTCAACCACCTGAAATTAAAGCCAAACACTCATGATAAAACCTAGGTAAATTGCCTGTCTTTTCAGCTCCCACTGATTTTTCTCGAAGGAGGGAGGGGGGGAGTAGCGGGGGGGGGGGGCGAGAAAGCTCTCTCCGTGGTCCGTTTTGATATGTAGATAGAGGAGGTTGAGACTGAACATCAAGATAACATTATGCATATGCCTTTTGCAAAGAGATAAAATGAATCAAGACACTTTCTGTCGATGTAAATGTGATGTATTTGCATTTAAACCTCTGTTTGGCACTGTTTCCATTTAAAACCAGTTTCAGAGTCTAATCAGTATGAAAAGGATATTTCTTCCTGAGAATTAGAATATTTAAATATTTCAAAGCTATGTGGTTTGCGTTACTTCAGATTCCTTAAAAGCTAGCATCAATTTGCCTTTGTGAATAATGGAGCTTGTTAAAAATTAAAAAGGGATCAGCCACTTAGTTGCTGTGTCTCAAAGTGACTAACTGAACTCCAATTTTATTCTAATAACCTTGGGCAAAATCATTTCACTTTTGAACTAAGAGCGTAACATGTATAAAGGGACAACTGAGGAAAGCATCCAGTTAGAAGCCTTTAAGGCAACAAAACAAATTTATCCATAGCTTTAAGGAGGTTAGGTTGGGACTAACAAAGAATTTAAACTATACACAGATTGTATTCTTAATTTTAAAAAATAGAATACAAACCATGGCTCTTTAAGATAAAAAGTGTTATTAACTGAGCTTCTGCTAGTGGAGGTGATCTGAAAAAATTTCCTTGGGGAGTTATAAATTTAACAATAGATACTTTCTCCCCTTTAGTGCTATGTACTGTCTACCTGAGATATTATAGGTTTTGGTATTCAATTTCTTAAATCCGTAATGTATCCTCATGGAAATAAGGCCACAGGGAAAAGAAAGAAATGGCAAGAAACTATTCTTTATCTCCAAGAGCAACATGGGAGCAAATCATTGGTGGTCCAGAAACAACTATAAGGAAAGGGTTTAGGGGTATCAATCTTGTTAGCGGGGTGTGGCTAGTAACTTGACCTGACACTGACTTCAGAGAGAAGTACACTGATTTCATTTAGTGTGTGTAGTTATTTGGAGTAGTTTTGGGAGACTCTACTAGAGATAAAGGGAAGGTTAGACTGTCCTTTATTCCTGCTCAGCCCCTCTACCATGAAAAATGCTTTCAAAACCTGGAGATTCACAGACTTGTACCCCTGGGGGGAAAAAAATATATATGTTTATAAAAAATAAAATTAAAAAAAAAATCTTTAAAAAAATAAAAAAAATAAATGCTTTCAAATCTTCTACCGTCTTAACTACTAGCACTTGCTGGAGGAATCCCTCGGACAGCATTTTTTAAGGCGGGGGCTGGGGGCTTTCAGCATCAGAATCATTGCTGGAAACCTTGTTTAAAGTCAGATGTATGGGCTTCACTCCAGATGTAAGGAATCAGCATTTGAGGAGTTTGCAACTCAGCAATTTTTGCAAACTGCCCCAGGTGATTTTTATGCCAACATGCTATAGGTAACAATCCCCAGAGGACAAGTATTCCTTGGACACAAACTCTAACCAGATTTCATCATCATTTCAAACAGACAAAAAGAAGTTGGGTGGGGGAGGGAAGTTAACAGATTCAACTTACTTTGAATTTTTCAAATATCCAGATTGAAATATTAAGTAGTCAGCTGATCTGATGGATAGGTCTGGAGTATAGGTGTGATTCGGAAATTGTCTAGAGCATGGTCAAAGCACTGAGAGTAGATGAGCGCCCTTACGTCAGTGCTTCTCCAAAGTGTGGCCCAAGGAACTCCTTTAATGGAATTAAAAATGCTGACTAATGGACTCCACCCCAAAGCTCCTGAGTCAGAAACTCTGGAGTGAAGTTCAAGACACTCCATGTCTACTAAATTTCCTAGCCAACCCTTTTTGTACAATAAAGTTTGAGAACCACCACTCTCAAAAGAGAAGTAGACTGAGAATGAAACTCCAGGGTATATTTACATTTCAGAACAAACAGAAGAGGATGGAAGAAAAAATTATGGGAGGAACAATTAGCCAGGAGGAGGAGAACCAAGAGAGTGGTCTAGCAAAATCCAAAGGGGTAGAGAATTTTGGAAAGATGGCCTATCAATGGCTCCGTCAGGGTCTAGTGCCTTTTTTTTTTTTATTAAAGATTTTATTTATTTATTTGACAGACAGAGATCACAAGTAGGCAGAGAGGCAGGCAGAGAGAGGGGGAAGCAGGCTCCCTGCTGAGCAGAGAGCCCGATGTGGGGATGGATCCCAGGACCCTGAGACCAGGACCTGAGCCAAAGCCAGAGGCTTAACCCACTGAGCCACCCAGGCACTCCAGGGTCTAGTGCTTTGCTATACAAAGTGCAATTCACTGAAGTTAGTTGAAGCCTCAAGTTAGTTGAAATATATTTGACATATAAGGGTGTAAATTTAAGGTGTACAACATGTTAATTTGACACATTTATATGCTGTAATATGATTGTCACTATAGCGATAATTGTCCCTCTATCACGATACATAATTATCCTTTCTTTTTAGTAGTTCTTAATTAAGTTTTAGTCTCTTAGCAAGTGTGGTGATCGTAATACATATTGTTATCTACATTCACTGTACTATACATTATATCTCCGGGGCTTCTTTACTACTTGTAAATTTTGTAGTTGTAAATGTGTACCCTTAAACAACATCTGTCCTGTCACCCAACCTTTATGCCCTGGTAACCACCATTTTTTCTGTTTTCACAAGTTTGGCTTTTTAAAAAACTTCCACCTCTAAGTGATACTATACAGTATTTGTCTTCCTCTGACTTGAGTTTTAGAAACACTGTTGCCACCTGTTGAATTTGACGTAGTTCTTGGTGAAATGAAAGTAAATTTCAGTGGAGCATTTGGGGCAAGAGGCAGATTAAAGCGTTTTGTTGTTGTTGTTGTTGTTTTAAAGATTTTATTTTATTTATTTGGCAGAGAGAGAGATCACAAGTAGGCAGAGAGGCAAGCGGGGGTTGGGGGGGAAGCAGGGCCCTGCTGAGCAGAGAGCCCAATGCGGGGCTTGATCCCAGGACCCCAAGGCCACAACCCGAGCCGAAGGCAGAGGCCTCAACCCACTGAGCCACCCAGGCACCCCGATTAAAGCGGTCTTAAGAGCAAATGAGAAATAAAGAAATGAAGACTATGAGTTCAGCGTTTATATACACCCAGAACAAGGGTCTTGTAGCACACTGATCACCAGGTTGTCTCAATTCAAAGGAGCTGAATATGAACAGAGGCATAAAGTGGTCTAGTTTGCGGATGTAGGTCTCTACTTTGTCCACTGCTCTGACAGAAGTGATAAAGAATTAACAGAGGTTGATAGTGAGAGAGGAGATGCTTTCCTAAGGAATAACGACAGTTGGACCCTTGATCATCACAGGAGCTCAGGCATGTATTGCCAAGAGCAAGGGTAACAGACCTTCCGAGAGTCGTCGGAGGATTTAAAAATCCTTTATGACAAGGCAATAGAAGAAAAATCTCTAGAAGTTAAATACCATTATTAGATAATTTAAGAATTCTTAAAAACCTGGAAAAGAAAGATAACTGGAAAGAACAAAAGAATTGCCAGTCCTTAAGGAAGTCTCAGAATTAGAACTGGTTGTCATAGGAAGGGACTTCAATATTTTATGCATTAACTGAGTGAAGCTTCCTGCAACTGAGCTGTAGAAGTAAGGTTTCAAGATAATACAAGTGACCACTAAGGAAACAGATGAGGCTTGACCCTCCAAATGATTAAACAAAAATTATTCATGCTTAACTGGCTAAAGAGATTATCTTAATAAAACCTACAGTTTTGAAAGTCAAGGACTTGCCAAGTGAATAGAATTGGGACTATCTTGAGGAGCGGTAGTCCAGATGCATCCAAAATTATGCTGTTCAGAAGCAAGGACACCTTTCCAAGGAACCAAACTGTCAAAGTTAAAAGACCTTCAAATATATTAATTCAAGCTGAAGGATCAATGAACTATTTCATGTCTCTGGTCTCATAAGCATGTCGAGAGTTAAAAAATACAGAGAGTATTGTTTTTTTATTCCAACTTCACTGAGGAAGTCATTAAAGGATTCTTAAATTGCCTTTTGGAATTTGGGATTCAGAACTATCAAATCAAAATGTGTTAAAGAATACTAGGACTCAAAAAAAAAAAAAAGTACTAAGACTCTTCAGTAAAGAGCAGTGCAACTTGTTGGTAACCACCCAAATGTTTGTAAGAATTCGAGGATAAATTTTGGTGCAACAGGCCAAAGTATTTTGCATGTTGCTGTAAGTTGCCTGGGTGCCACACATACTTTGGCCTGTTGCACCAAAATTTATCCTTCACTTCTTACAAACATTTGGCTTCTACCCATGTGAGAAGACCATGATAACCATCAGACAGTAAGAGATGCTCAATGATATTTGATAAAATCACTTAGGGTTCAATGCAACTTAAGAATCTATTCATTAGTGGCTTGTGAGGAAATTAACAATGTACTTCCAAAAGTATAAATTCACAAACATGTATTAAGCATTTCATGTGAAAGTTACTGTTCTTGATATTAAAATACTACAG